TTAATAGTAACCACAACCGTTCCTTCCTTCAGTGGTTCTTTCCACCATCCCCCCCAGTCAATTGGCAAAGCAGCCCTGGCGCAGGGTCCCCTCTCGGGACACTCCTCGGGATGCAGAGATCCTGACCACAACACATTCGGGTAAGGGCCTACAATGCCATCTCTATTGAAACTTGTGATCTTTACTGACATAATCGGAACCGCTGACGAGGTCTGGGGCTAGGACTGGATCCAGCCGCATCCAGATGCCTCAGAAGGCATTTGGAAATCAAGGGGGTCCAATCCGAACCTCGTGTCACACACCGCAATCTCCGCGCAGCAACAGCCCCAGCAGGCGGGAGACGGCGCGACACCTGCCTGAGGCCACCTCGAGGGCCGCGCTCGCCTCGCCGGCCCCGCACCCTCCAGCCGCCTCCCCACGCCCGCCGCCATCGCTGCTGCCGCGCGCTGCGCCCCTCCCCTGCACCGCCCGGCCGCTCCCCGCGCTGCGCAGGCGCAGTAGAGCGCAGGCGCCCCCCCAACACTCCCTGCGCCACGCAGGGGCAGTAGGACGCAGGCGGCGGCCGCTCCCCGCGCCGCGCAGGGAGCGGGGGCGGCCGTGGCTGCAGTGACGTCCTGTCCACAGCGCAGGGCGGCAGCGAGCGGAGTGGAGCAGGGTGCGTGCGTCCACCTGACACATGGACAGTGCGCATGTGCGGAGCCATCTCCCCTCTCCTCTGGGGTGGGGTGTCTGATCGCCGCGTGAAGGTAGCGGCGGCCACGGCCGCGCCACGGCAGGACCGCGTATTCTTTTAAAAGCTTCCCGGAATCCAATGAGATTGTCTTTTGTTCCGACTAGGGAGGCGGCTTCCTCAAACCCAGCTGGCCCCTCGAAAGGCACCGCAAGGTCCAGAACCTGGGATGGGAAGCTCCCAGCATGCCCTGCAGACTACAACATGGCCGCCCGGAAGCGTAGTGACGATAGACTACAACTCCCATCATGCCCTGCAGACTACAACATGGCCGGCCGGAGATCGAGTGTCGAAAGACTACAGGTCCCGGCATGCTCTGCAGTCTACAAAATGGCGGCACGGAAATCCGGGAAGAAAGACTACAGCTCCCAGCAAGCCCAGCAGACTACAACATGGCCGCCCGGAAGCACTGTGCGGAAGACTACAACTCCCAGCATGCACTGCAGACTACGACACGACCACCCCGAAGTTCAGTGACTGAAGACTACAACTCCCAGTATGCCCTGCAGAGTACAACATGGCCACCAGGAAGCCCCCTCACGAAAAACTACAATTCCCGGCAAGCTGCGCAAGGCGACATGGCGCCCGGCAGCGCTGTCCCGGAAGACTCCCGTTTCCGGCAGGCCAGGGCAGGCTCGTTCCATGACGTCTCCCTCGGGGCGGGGCCTCGTCACTTCTTCCGGAGCCCAGGAAGCGCCGCAGAGCCCAATTGTGTTCCGCGGCCCCGGACTGCTCACCATGGCCTTGCTACAGGGACCCCACCCTCCCCGAGACCCGCTCCAGGCTGCCCTGACAGCTGCCTCCCCCTCGCAACCACCCGAGAACCCCCAAAATAGCAGCTACAGGCACAGACATCACCGGAGTTGCCATTGATGCCCCCAAAATACAGGACAGGACCACAGACAGTCAATCTTGCTGCATTTTCAATTACCCAAATACACAGTACTGTTTCTGGGCCCACAGTGTCCATTCGGAAGGAAAATACAGAACCTTTGCCAAAAAGGTGAATGATGGCATTTCTTTTAAGAGGTACCAGGGACTCCGCACAACTGGCATTACTTTGGACTGGCAGCAGCTTCTTGTAAATAGCTACTCTGCGCGATTGGAAAGGAAACCTGTCACTCCCCGCTGTGCTTTGAATGGCACGACCCTCTCTGCAAACCCGCCCTCCCTCCAGAATGGGAAAAAACACTTGCTCAAAGCACACCGACTGTCTCCTTCACTGCAGCTTCCTCTTAGTAGCAGAGGCAGTAAACAAAAGGGCAGAAGGAATGTTCTCATCTGCTGTGAGTGCTTGCATATCAGGGAGCATTCGTGCACCCAGTTGATGATATAGGCATTACTACAATTGTATTCTGATATCTTGCTGCTCCACACTGCTCTGTGCATGCGCGCCCCCCTCCCTCTTACAGTACCGATTTTCGGAGACGCGGTGGCAGCAGCGAGCGCTCACGACGGCTGTGCGCATGCGCGCTCTCTCCTCCCTCTTGCAGATTTTTTTGGGCCAGCGACAGCAGCACACGTGGCTGTCAAGCTGTCTGCACGTTCCTTCCTGACCAAGACTCCCTTAAGCCCTTTGACGTATGGTTTTTTTTCAGGCAAGAAATGCAGCAGCGAGCGCCGCAGGGAGCTGTGCGCATGAACGCTCCGCCCGTGCAGTACCGATTTTCGGACACGCAGTGGCAACAGCGAGCGCTGTTGGCCGCTCTGCGCATGCGCGCTCTCCCCTCCCTCTTGCAGTACCGATTTTCGGACACGAGGTGGCAACACCAAGCGCTGCCGACCGCTCTGCGCATGCGAGCTCCCCCCCCCTCTTGCAGTCTCGAGTTTCGGACACGC